CGCAGCCGTAGGTAAGAACCGGTCTAATGAGAGTTTTATATATGCGCAACTTTTGTTCCTTTGATAGTAACGTTGATTTCATAAGCTTAATATGGGGAAAATATGCTCTGTTAGCTGTTTGAATACGATCTTGTATTGCAAGAGTCGCATCTTTACTTGTGCTGAGAACTACGCCTAGATATTTAAACTCGTTTATAGACTTGAAATTGTGACTGCCTATTCTGATGTGACTATCTTGGGGGAATCTTGTCATGTATTTAGTTTTTTCTTCGTTTATTCTGAGGCCTGTTTGCTTTGTAGCTTGCTCTAGTTGTATAAAAACGCTTTGAAGATATTCCTTGTTTCTTGCAATAATGACGATATCGTCAGCATAGGCGCATATTTGTATAGATCTATAAATCTATAATAGATCTATAATATTGTACCACCTTGATCTATTTCGTTGATAGCTGCACGTAGAGTCAGATTGAAAAGGAGCATCGATAGAGAATCACCTTGACGTACGCCAGATTTGGTTCCAAATTTGTCTGAAAGTTCACCATTCCGGATTATTTTAACGTTTGTATGCATTAGAGTCATATTAATTAAGTTAATGTATTTTTGTGATACTATGATAATTAGAGGCCTTTTCCATACTATAACAATAACTTATAATTTTATAATATATAATAATAATATATTTTATTGCCACTTCATTGTAGAGTAGATGTTGTTTATTTCCCTTTGAACCGCAGTAACCTAAGTCAAAGGTGATGTTTAAATACGTGAACTTTTAAGTACTACTAAACTATATACTAATCTATGACATACATATGTATTGTATATCAAATTGAAACTATTATTTTAACCTTGATATTTCTTGCTACCATGAACCCATAAAGTTTTAACGATGAACTCCAATAAAACATATATTATTTATACATAAAGTTTTGTTTTAATATTTGCGCAGTTATTTTTAATTTAATTTTTGTAATAAAAATTTAAAACTCTTTGCAAAATTCAATATATCATAAAATAAACATTTTGCTCATTCCAATCAACAATATAAACAATAAATATTTCTTGAGGACTTCGAAATGTTCAACTGTGAGATTTATGTAAATTTTATACTGATGTCAATTTAGGTTTAACTATTGTCACTTGTCATTTACTTCAAGTGGAGTGCATTCGTTGCGCAAAGTACTTGTATCTTACGAATGTCGAAAACATTTTTCTTTTAATAACCGACGTTAGTTCTTTAGCTTATACGGGTATTTATATACAATAATAAAATCTGTGTTGATGTAAACATTCTGTATTTTTATGCGACAGTGGACACAACAATTCAACAGTCAATCAGCTGTTGAGCGTTAAATTATTGTTTATTTAAAATCCATCACTGAAATAGGCAAATCTTTGAAATTCAAGCTGCACTCTCTCCGTACAGCAACACAAAAGTCTTCCATATTCGATATTTGCATTTGAACAGGAAAAACATTAAATTAATTTACGAGTTAAAAATCTTAGTTTCGGTCTAACCATATCTAATAAAAACTTTTATATTGTAGAAATATATAGCGCTAACGTAATAGAAAAGAAATATTGAATGAAATATAGATAGCGGCAATTTGCCACACAAACTAAAACATACACCGAAATGTATTACAATAGATGGATGGATGGATGCTTCACCTCTAAAATTCGTAAAACGAAAAGTACACAAAATTTGTTGGTTCTGTGGTCTGCACAGTAGAATATTTAAAACTTTTTTTCCTAAATCTTCAAGTGAATATTGTTGACTCGAAAACTAAAAAATGCTACTGAAAGACATAAAGCAGTTTTCTTTTCCCAAAAGATATAAAGAAAAGTACTTGAAATCAATTCATTAAGTAACTAAATTATATATGAGATCCGATTAATTATGGTTACTTACTCCTTTTAACTGCTAGATTTTAAAGATACTAATAAGGACTGCTGACACTTACAGATTCTGTGAAATACAGAGTGAAACATCCATCCATCTCATCTGTGCATTTCCTGCAATTATTAGATGGGAGATGACCTAGCAGATTAAGTGCCTGTTTCAGACTTTAGTTAAACTGAAAGTGGTTAGCAGAAATACTTTAAAATTAATGAATACTTTAGTGTTTAAATATTATCTTTAGGAATAACACAACATATATCATTAAAGTTCTAATAACAACAGTACTACATAAGTTAGGTTTGTCAGTTGAGAGATTTTGTTTCATTTTGATATGGTAAAGAGTAAAGCTGTGACAGACAGCTACGATTGTAGTTACTGTTCTGCACCCAATATGACTTCGATTTATTACCAATATTATCGTTTAAAAACCTCTTTTCGTTATGATATTAAACATGTGTCCAGGGTTTACATTCGCACTGTAGTTCCAGTGAGTACGGGTATGACGTTATTCCTAGCTACGGGTTCACATATGATTAAGAAAAGTGAATATAATTCAGATAGTAAAATATAATGTTTTGTAAATATTTATTAAATATTAAAATCGATGTTAGGTAAATTCGTAATGTCGTAGTCTCTGGGTGAGATTTCAGGTTAATCAACAATATTTTCAAATTATTACAATTTAAATGATGATTCAAAATATTAGCTCGTTATCATTTATTTCATTTCATCATTTTTTAAGTTAATATTTTTTACTTTTAATAAAACTATTGTAAAAATATATATTAGTTATACCAATGAAATGCAGAATTAAATAATATAATCATTAATATCAGTAGTGCAGTTTTGCTCTACTGTTATTTCATTCAATAGATATAAGTTCATATGTGAAGTCTAAATGTCTCACGCCTAGAAAAGCTTTCTTTTCGGTAGACCACATATTTTCAGACACTTTATATTTTATCGCTTTTGTGTAAACTTTACGATCAGTTTTTATGTGTTTAGTTAAGCGTCGAGTTGGCGTCGAAAAATTGCAGCTACAAGAAAAAAAAACGTTTTTAACACTAAATCCTTTATTTACTTGCTTCCTCCCTTTAGAAATTTAAAATAATTTTTTTTGTAAGGCCACGGTTAATAAATAATTTACACTGTAATTTAATGGTTAATTAAATGTGACATTTGAATCCCACAGGTATTGTGTTAAATATGTGATTAAAAATAACTTATCTATTGTTATAGTCCTTCTTGCAGTATATACCTTTGAATCTTATATATTTCATGCAACAAACCGGTGTAATACAGCAGATATTAATCTGTGTTAGCATCCTAATAAAATGGATTTGTCTTAAATAACAAAGTCAAGTCTTTGCTTATGAGGAGATTAAACTTCTAAGTACTTTTTTGTAACTGTCTGGGTCTGAACTAGACTACGAATACACAAAATACTGGTGCCGATACTCGTATCATTGACAGAAATTCAGATTTTTTTCAAAAGTTTAAAGTTTTCTGTTCAATTGGTATTAGCACAATGCATCAACTAGAATCCCAGTGCTCTATTTTTTGGTTTTCTTTTATCTATTCCAGTATTTATTCCACATTTTGATGATTAAGGTTAGCACAAAGTATTAACTAGATTCGCAGTGCTCTATTCTTTGGTTTTCTTTTATCTACTCCAGTATCGATTCCACATTTTGATGATTAGGGTTAGCACAAAGCATCAACTAGATTCGCAGTGCTCTATTCTTTGGTTTTCTTTTATCTATTCCAGTATCTATTCCACATGTTGATGATTAGAGTTAGCAAAAAGCATCAACTAGATTCGTAGTACATTTTAATGTGTCATTTTTTCGATATTCTGAAAATCGACATTGCAGTATTTTTTGTTGGCTTATAACTTTTATAAGTAAAAAGTTTTGATATTTAGTTATAGTTTTGATATTGATATTTCATAAAGTGTGTGCTTATCTTAGCTTACATTTACCATTCTAATTTACCATTCAAGTGATACCGATAGCTGCCGTCAGGTCATTTGAATACCCAAAGTATTTTACACATATTTCTTAATATGGAGGAGCTAATAACAATAGCTTCTTTAACACAATTTTAATATTGTTTCTAATCTTTCATTAAATAAATTATTTATAAAATTTAATTGCAATTAATAAAGTAGGCATTTTTACACAAAACTTATTCACACATTAAAACGACTCTTTATAGTAAATATCAGCTGTCCAACCGTATGTCCTCCTCACATTAATTTAAAATTAAAAATTGCATTTTTTGATTTGCTATCATTTTTTTCTACTCAGTTCAATAATTCACTCAGATTCCCAAATCACTCAACTGATAAGACCACGTGTTGCTTTACATGCTGTTTCACTTGCACCAACAAGTAAATCACAAAGTACTCAATACTTCAATTTTCCTACACATTAAATTTGTATTTGTTTGTGTTTGACGTCTACACTGTGCCGTTGTCCATTTTCCGGCTATCCATCTATCGTTGTGTTTGTCCGTTACTTGCTGCTTCGGTTTTTTTTTTTTTTGTTGTGTTCGTATCTTCATCTGCAGCTACATTGCGACTGTCAGGCAGTAAACAGCAACAGTAACGACAGCAGTATACCACCAACTGCTCAGTCATCTTTTGCTATTGTGTGAGCGCTGCGCAGCTTTGCATTAAACTTCGGCTTCGACTGCCGCAAAGGAATTCCAATTGTTTCATATCGTTTGCTTTGGTTTTGTGACCAAGCGCCTACCTCGTCGTAAAGACGTGCGCCACTCAATTTTAGTCCGGTTTTGAAATTGTCGTGGAGTGTTTGTAAACCGAAGAACAGCGGCTCGCATTAATTTAAGTTAAGCTTATGAAATGAATAAATTTTTCTAAAAATTAACCGTCGGAAATTTAAGAATCAAACTTTAAAAATAAATAGCAGTGTTAAAAATTTTTATTCTGCAATATTTTTCGCATATTTGTGTGAAAACAATATAAAACTAAAATTATATAGAAATAAATAAATTCTAATCTTATTATAAAATCGTAAAACTAAAACAAAAAAAAAAATTATTTAATCCATTTAAAAATTTATAGTATATTAAAATCATAATTGAAACAGAAGTAAGTTTTAATAAGAAATAATTATAAAATATAACAAATAATTTTTTAATCAAATTATTATGTATTATTAATTATGGTTTTTAATTAATATTTTTTAATATCTTACGCATATTGAAAATATTAATGCGATGATATTAAATATTAAATTATTTTTATATTAAATTGATTTTTAATATCCGTTTTGACAAAGGAAACAAAATTCTTAATATAATCTATTGTTTTCAATACAAATTGTTTTTTAATGCATGTGTATACAAATAATATGACTATATTATAATAAACATTTTTTACATATTTTCACATTTTATAACTATATTTTACAACTACTTGGTTTCAATAAATACATTGTATTTCTTAAAATTCCTTAAAAACAAAATTCTCAGATAAGTTACTTATTTATTAGTTTGACTTGTTCCTCTCGATTACTACTTTCCAAAATTGGAATAAAATTTCAGGATCTGTAAAATGTAAAATGAACCCATTTTATCTAATTGTGTTCAGAGATATTCAGTAAACGAGCCCAGCACACTAATCAGTTTTCCATAAAATCGAATGAGCACTAAAAACTATTACTAGTAATACTTAGAAGCTTTTGTTTTCGATCATTCTCTATGAATACCAAAATAAATATTTTTTTCGTAATTCTCTATTCTCCCTTTAAATAATAAATGGATAAGTAAATAAATATAATAATAACAAAAATCGAATTTATATTATTATAAGAATCGATTAACAATAGTTTGACTTATAAAATTATATATTACAACATAAATATCAAATTGTCATTAGATTGAGTGATACTTAATTTTAACATTAAAATAATTTAATTGAAATTAAATCATAATTTTATATGAACTCAGCTTATTATTACTATTAATAAAATAGTCTCCTTATTAAATAAAACATTTTTAATATTTTTCACACACGATAACAGAGTACTTATACTTCAAATAATTTGTGCAATATAATCAAAAACGTCATAATTATATTTATTATTAAGTTTAAATTTAATTTAGAGGGGTTTTGAATAGCAAAGAAAGAAATAAAGGACAAACACAAAAATTTATTTTAATTTTATTGAAGTTTGGCTGACCATACAACGCTGTTTCGATTATTGCCAAGTACTCTTCATCAGTGGTCTTTGGAATAATCGAATTTTTATTTAATTAGTTTATAGTCCGTATATAATTTGTTTGGACTGCAAGTGCCAGGCCTAGAACTCGTGCCTGTCAAATTAGAAGCGATGACTAATCGTGTTTGTTTAAATTTAATATGTATATATTTGTAGGTGTTAATTAGTTAATATTATTCTAATTATTTTAAAATAGTAACTTTACTTTATTTTGATCTTTTTTTTTGAATCATTGATCACTTTTGCTATATAATCTTAGATTGAATTTCATTATATAGAAGTTTTATTTTTTACTGTTTCTTGTTCTTAAATTTATTAAATGATTAAATGAGTGTATGTTATAAATAGGATGATATAACTAGTAATAATAAGTATTATATTCCTAACTTTAAATGCATTTTAATTATAGTTAAAAATTTAAAACCTAAAATTATAATTTGTAATATATTTGTTACTTTATAAAAATTAAACATTTAATTTAATTAAAAATTTTAAATCTTCAAGCAAATGCTTAAATTGCATGGTATGGTAGACATAATTTTGTATAAATTCCTACAGCTACAAGCTTCCAAGAACACTAATTCCTCCAGTTGATTTACAAAATTTTGCACGTTCTCTTCAGAAAAGCCAAAATAATTCAAAGATGTTTTTGACAAGATTAAAACTGACATACCTTATAGTCTGCTAACAAAGTAAAAGATTTTAAATGATCAAGCTTCAAGGATATCTTCATATATAATTTTTTATGTTTATATTTTATTATAAATTACTTTTTAGTGTAAACTAATAATAATTATTTAATATTATTACTGTTTTAAGAACAATTGCAAAGAATTGCATACTTAACTACTTTTGAGATGTATTTGCGATAAGTAAATTGATTATAGAAGGCAATGTATTTATTATAGTTTTGAATAATATATATTAAAATATTAAACTATTTAACAATAATGTACAGTAGACCTTCCATTTAACAAATGGTTTCTTGCATTAAATTCAAAAATTCATTAAATCGAATAAATACAAAAAAAAATAACTTTCAGTTGTTCTGTTATTATTTTTCAAAAATTATTATGTGTTATCCTATATTTAGTAGATCTTGTATAAATATGATTTTGGGGTAGTATACTTAGATCTGTGCAGTCCAATGTATGGAACCCTTAAGCGTTCCATAGCATTTTTATGAAACATTTTAGCTATGATTTCAGTGAAAGACTTCCTTTCTTATTCGCTAATCGAATACTGGATTTTGGCGTTGCTTTAAGTGGGAATGCTTTATAGAGATCATCTACTGTATTCAAATTATACGAAAACAAATAAATCTGTATTTTATGTGTTAAGAAAATGTAATCATTAATATTTAGTAATTTTTTTCAAAAATTTGTTTTTCAATATATATTATATTTGTACATATATGTATGTATATTACAGGTCTTTAAAGATTCACATATTATTTCATAAAACAATAATATACAAATAATTTGTAAACAAATAGTTAAAAATATTAAACAGTTTATACAGCGAACCAATTTCTTAGGTAATTATTTCAGCTCTCCTTACTATGGGCCCACTATTGTACGTGAGCTATTGTACAAAAATTTGCAAACTTTAAAAACTAGATATAAACAATAAGTAAACGAATAAATTTCGAATAACTGAATGCTTGAATCTTCAGATCTAGTGTCTACATTTATAGACAGTATTTTCTGTTATGTTATGTGTTATGATTTTCGGTACATATTATTATTCAACTTATCATATCACGTACAGGCAATTATTGTTTTGTTATATGTTATATATACTATAAGTTGTAAATAGCAATTAAGCCAATTAGTTTGGAATGTAATATATGCTTGCGCTTTAAAGCAATAAAATGTTTCAAAGTTTCTAAAAAAATCTGATACAAATAAATACATAATTCAGTGATTTTGTAAGTTGACTGATTTACTGAAAACTGATTTACTGATTTCTTATATATCATATATCATTTTGAAATTCTAAACAAATTTACTATTAAAGGATTAATGTCAGCTTAGAAATTAAAAACATTCTACTTACGATTTATTTTAATATTTGAAAATAATTTTTATTAAAACATTATTTATCTTTTTATATATTGTTTGAAATAGATATTCTTGGTTTAAGATTTTAAAAAATAATAAAAATTACTTGTGGTGTGTTTTCAAATAGTTCAATATGTCGAAACTTCAGCTTTCGTTACCATCATTTGAAATAGTTTTTATATATGTTACAAAAAATCCTTTGGTTATTATTCAAAAAAATTTTATGGTTAATTATGTCGATTATTGGTCATATACGTATTAGTCCAGGAAATATGGTTTAAGCTTTCAATATCTGTTCTTCTATGAAGGGAGTACATAAAGACTTCCTTCAAGATTGGAACTTTTAACCAGTATCGGCGTATTGTATACTTATTTTAAGATATGTATATACATATGTTGTCTTACAGCATATAGATTTAGTATTATTCGTGTTAATGTTAAGATCAATCTCCAATGAATCGTTTGTAATAGTTCTCATTACCTCCTACAGCTGATGGAACTTTTAGAGTATTTGATACGCTGTGTAGTCAAATGAATAAAAAAATTCAGTGACAGCTGTTGAACTTTTTTTTTATTATATACGTTTTATATTAATTTAAATATACGTTTTATGTTGTCTGTAATGTTACTTTAACAAATTTTAACAAATTATAAAATATGCGATTTTTTTTAAATACTTATTTTTTGCTTTGAATTATTTTTTATAAATTTTCTTATTTTGTTAAATATAATACATTAAAAAATAATAGATCTTTTAAAAATATAAAATCAATATTTTTATTTATATTTTTTTTTTAACTTCACAAAAAAATTTATGTTACCAGATAATTGTATTAATAATGAAAACATAATAAAAGTTATAACTTAACTCTTCCAAAATAATAAATTATATAACTTTTTCAAATTTTTTTCAATTCCAACACTAACATTTAATCCAAGTTTACTCATTTTTATTTTTTCAAAGCTACTTTATTTTTATTATAAACATTTTAAAAGAATCTCTGCTTCCTTTTGCCTTTTTATAACACAATTGGCAACGAAAAGTGAGGTGATATTGCAAAATATTTTTCCTCTTGTTATTAACTTGCAATTTTTTTTTATTCGCGTTACTGTTTATTGTTGCTGCTTTTTATTGTTATTGTTTTATTGTTAGTATTTTATTTAGCAATAGCAACAACAACAACAACGACAAAAACAACAACAACAACATAAAACATGACTACAAGTAATTTTCGTTGAATACAGCATGTTGCGCCTGCGTTTCGCGTAATTTTTTCCTTCATTATTTTTCTTCTATGTTTTTGCTTTTTAAATCTTTTTCTTGTTTTTATTTTTTTATCCTTCGTGTTTGTGCAAATTTGTCCGCACTTCCCTTACATTGTGTTTTACTGTATTTGTTTATGTTATATGTAGTTTTGTTTTTTTTCTTTTTTGTTTTGTTTTTGCTTATACTAACTAACAACAGCAGCTAAACAACAGCAACATAGCAACATGTTGTTGCTGCTCAAATAAGTTAGGACTGCAATGTAAATAAAAGAACATGACTCGGAAACAAATATACAGCAAAAAAATACTACAATTTTTTATTTGTTCTGCTACTTTTATGAACTTCTTCACTGTGAACTGTAAATTTGTTTTTGTATAGGCATTTTTTGCTGGTGTTTTTTTATTAATAAAAATACACATTATATTATTATCATTAAAGGTAAACTGTTAAAACATGTCGATAGCTTATAGTAATATTTGTGTTTAATGATTTGTTTTTAAAAGCATCCAAATTAATGTTTAGCAATTAATTTAGATTA